AGGCTCTGTCTCAAAAAAAAAAAAAAAAATAGGGGCTATTTTTCTTGTACTATAGTCCAGTTTCCAAAGCTTCAGTTATCTTGCCTACTCTGAAAGAAGATAAAGGTCACTTAAATATATGGGAAAATGAAATAAGGGGGAAATGGAGTTCAATGCAATTTATGTATAACCTGGCACCTGTAGTTATTAAAAAAATCTGAATTGCTGTATATGCTGTGCTATATTCAGAACCAGATTTTGATAGCGTGTATGAGACCCCCCCATAATTAGGATGAATCCTTTCAGATTTTGAAGTTAAGGTATACGTGTTGTTTGTAACATTATGTAGAATGCAAGCATGGTGTTGACATTCTGAATCTTACATGTCACAGTTAAAATATGGAATCTGTTTCACTTACCTGTTTAATGTGGGGTGGGAGAGAATTTACAAATTACTTGTTGGAAGAATAATTGTTGCAAAATGTATGGCTTCTACTTTGCCTGGAAAAAAAAAAAGAAATGCATCATATCATGTAGTTGGGTTCTCCTAGGACAAAAAGAAAAGGAATATCTCAAACAATGTTAACGTATTTTAATTAAAATATTTATTGAGCTCCTAATACATACCAGGCACTGTTTTAGGCACAGGGGAAATGGCAGCTGCATTAGCCAGCCTCCAAGACAATTAATGATCCTCACTTCCTGTTATTCAACTCCTCATGTAGTCTCCTTCCTTACTGAACTGAGACTGGAATGTATGATTTATAAAATACAGTGGCAGTGATGGTGTGGGACTTCCAAGGCTAAGTCATAAAAGGCACTAGTTTCCTCCTTACTACCTTGGATAAGGTGACCAGATGTCCCGCTTTTGGAGGGACAGTCCCGATTTTTAATAATTTGTCTCACATCCCACGGCGTTTTTAAAAAGTCCCGATTTTGGCTTGGCACCTGTGGCTCAAGCGGCTAAGGCGCCAGCCACATACACCTAAGGTAGCCGGTTCGAATCCCCAGCCCGGGCCCGCCAAACAACAATGATGGCTGCAACCAAAAAATGGCCGGGCGTTGTGGCGGGCGCCTGTGGTCCCAGCTACTTGGGAGGCGGAGGCAGGAGACTCGCTTGAGCCCAGGAGTTGGAAGTTGCTGTGAGCGTGATGCCATGGCATTCTACCCAAGGGGATAGCTTGAGGCTCCGTCTCAAAAAAAAAAAAAAGTCCCGATTTTTAGAAAGAATGCACCACAAGCTAGGGAACAGGCCGGAGAATAGGAAGGGAATATATGGGTTTCGGCTGCCATGTGGCTATTTCACCAGGATATGAGTTTTATATTATTTTTGTTAATTTTATAATGTTAAACTGTAATAACAAATAATTGTTGAGAAGTGATTACCAAGAACTGCTTATCAAAGTTTGCATTGTTCTCAGACCCCCCGCCCCTCCTGTCAATGGTGTCCCGCTTTACCAATGTTAAAATCTGGTCACCTTAATCTAGGCTGTAAAGCCCCTGGGAAGATCAATTAAGCTGTGAAAGATTCTATGGCTGAGGCTAGGACCAGATCCAGGGTCTTCACTGTAGACCAGTGTGCAGCTAACCAGACCACTTTGCAGGGAGAGCTGTGTGCAACTTGGACACACAGACACACGGGTGCACGTGTGCAAGATGGCAGCCCAACCAAATGCAGGTATTACGAAGCAGTGATGCCAAGGGCTCGAACAAGTAATAGGTTCCCCTCAGTACTGGAATGAGCAAACAGAACTATGCCTGAGCTTGGAAAAGTGCAACAGATTGTCTCCGAGTGATTTTGCAGAGTTGCAAGGGTGGAGAATGTGTTTATTCTGCCACCTGCTTGCACTTTGTGTGACTTCAATTATTTATGCATTCTTTATGTAGGTTGAAGCATTTTCACCCACTCCAGAGAGCATTCAGACCCATTCCCCCCAGCACCTGCCTCTTCAAGAACATAAGATTGGCGTGGGGGGCGGAGGGGGGGTGCTGAGCCTTTGAACCTGGGATGACAACAGCACACTGGGGCCCCTGGGTAAGTGGGCACAAAGACAGGGAACTTGGAGGTCTGGAGTATAAGCAGGGAAAGAGTTGAAATGTCTCCAAGTTTCCCCCAGAGGCTCCGCCTGCCCTTCTTTTGGGTTCCTGCAAATACCCTCCTCTCTTGAGCCCTTGGCTCTGTTCCAGAGGCTCAGTGTTCTAATCCTGTGGCTCAGCAGCATCAAGACTGTGTGTACCTTTGGAGAAGGCTGTGGGCTTAGCTTCAGAATCCAAGGCTCCACCAATCCCCAGCAGGGCTGGGGGCCAGGGCAGGGTCTCCCGCGGCCTGTTGCCCAACAGCTGTTCCTTGGGTTATTTTTGATCCAGGGAAGCTTATCAATTCCAGGGTATCTGGACCAAAATAGCCCACAGCAGGACAATCTCTTGGTGGCTCTGCAGGGACCTCCCCATAAAGAAGTTTCTAAAATGGGGTGGTGTAGAGGGAAAGGAATTTGGTTTGGGCTGCGGTGAAGAGGGAATGCTGTGGTATTGGAGGCTAACCCCACCAACTCCATGCTGTCCTTTCTCTTTCCAGGCTCAGAACCTCCCTGACCACTTACCTAGGCCATAAAAGCTGAGTTTGGTGAGGGAGAGAATGGAAAGATAATTTCTGAACTTTGGCCCCCCTCCATAGCTGGTAAGATACATGTTACCCTTTCCCATTTCACAGATGGGGCTAACCCAGTCCAGAGAGGCAGAGGCGCTGGTCTGAGGCCACACAGCTCAGAACCCAGGCCTGGTGATCCTGGTGCAATGCCTACAAGTTGGCCTCTGTCAAACCAGCAGCTGGTCTTTGCTCGGTGGATTCCAGTTCCGTGGAGAAGCGGGGCCAGCATGGAAAGTGCTGACTGGCCTTGGCCTTCCTTTGGGCCACAGCAGGGGCTCTGGCAGCCACCTGTCTCCCTCTCACTCTCTGGCCTCTCACTAAGAAGTTCGGGTGGGGGAGAAGAGAGGGAAGACCAGCCTCTCTCTCGCTCTCTCTCTCTTTGGAGCCCGCCCAAAGTCAGGTCAACAGCCCCTGGCTTGGCCCCTGAGAGCCTGCGGGGATTGTCCAGGGAGCAGAGTCGGAATGACCCAGGTTTCATTCCTTTTGGCAAGAGGGGTGGCGCGGGGAGAGCACTTTGGCACCAGGCGTGCGCTGGGGTGCGGGGCACAAGTCCCAGACACGCCCTCTGGAAACCGCTCCCAGGCTCAGTAACTGAACTTGGACTTGAAGAGCCACCGGCCAAATCCGCGCGGCCGGTCGCATCTCCGGGTCTCGGAAAGAAGCCGCCGGGTGGGGCTGCTTTTGGCTACCGTAACGCGGGCCCCCTCTACCGCTCCCGCCTCTCCCCGGGATTTTCCAGCGGGTTAATTTCCTGTCCCGGTAAATCCTTTGGCTAGTCCTTCGCCCCTCCCTCCCAGCCTCTCCTCTGCCTGTCCCCGCCACCCCGGCTCCCCAAGTCCGTCCGCGCCGCGCTCCGTCGCCCCCGCGCGCCCAGGCGCACGCCCTCCTCGCCTGGGCCGCCCTCCGACTCTCCGCGCCCGGCAGCCGGGGCCCCGGCGCGCTGCCCCGCGCGTGGGCTCACTCCGAGAGCCGCGTGGGTATCGCAGCGGCCCGCGGGGGCCCCTCGGCCATGCGCCCCCGCGCCGCCCCCCGCGCCCTAGCCTGCGCGGCTCTCCGGCTCCGTAGCCTCCTGCTGCTGCTGCCGGTGCTCGCGCCCGGGCACGCGTGCCCCGCGGGCTGCGCCTGCACCGACCCACACACCGTGGACTGCCGCGACCGTGGGCTGCCCCGCGTGCCCGACCTCTTTCCCCTGGACGTGCGCAAGCTGCTGGTGGCGGGCAACCGCATCCAGCAGATCCCCGAGGACTTCTTCATCTTCTACGGCGACCTGGTGTACTTAGACTTCAGGAACAACTCACTGCGCTCGCTGGAGAAGGGCACGTTCAGCGGCTCGGCCAAGCTGGCGTTCCTCGATCTCAGCTACAACAACCTGACCCAGCTGGGCGCTGGTGCCTTCCGCTCGGCCGGGAGGCTGGTCAAGCTGAGCCTGGCCAACAACAACCTGGTGGGCGTGCACGAGGCCGCCTTCGAGACCCTGGAGTCGCTGCAGGTGCTGGAACTCAACAATAACAACCTGCACAGCCTCAGCGTGGCCGCCCTGGACGCACTGCCCGCGCTGCGCACCCTGCGTCTGGACGGGAACCCCTGGCTCTGCGACTGCGAGTTCGCCCACCTCTTCTCCTGGATGCAGGAAAACGCGCCCAAACTGCCCAGAGGTGAGCCAGGCTGGCTGGACTGAGGGAGGACGCAGGGACGGGCCGTCACCGTCCAGAGTCTGGGCAATGAGGAGCTCTGATCAGCCCCCAGGGGGCCGGGAGGGCTCTGGGTTGCTTGCGTCTGGAAGTGGCCCTTTGGTGGCTCTGAGCAACCCCCCTCTGTGAGAGCTGCTCCGGGTGACCCTGGCAGGGTCCCAGCCTGAACTTTTCCATCTGGAATTCTCTAGAGTTTCTGGGCCCAGGCTTTACTTTCCCCCTGCGTCTCACTTTTCCAAGTTAGGGAACGTTCAGTTCTTGGGAGTGACCAGGATCCTCTCTTGCTGCTTTGAGTCCTAGGACTGCTGGGTGCGGGTGACTTTCAGGTCCCTTCTAAGGGGGAGGTCCCCCTGCTGTATGGGAAACAGCCCCATCCTCAGCATGGTGAAAGGGAGAGAGCAGCAGCGGTTCTAAGTGCTGTGCCAGGCCTAAGCAGGTCTCTCAGCTTCTCCGCCCAGTTGGCTCTTCTGTCTAAAAGGGGCGAGGAATATTTGCAGAGAGTAACGAAGGATGGCAGCCGGCTGGAATCCAGCGATGCGGTGAATGATGAATAGTGTGGCTTTCGGCCCAGATGTGGAAAAGTGAAATAAAATGTTGCTGCTGGCGCCCCCTTTACTTTCCTGGTGTATGCTTCCAGCTGTGACAGGGATATACATACCCACTTGACCGACAAGAACACAAGAGCAAGGGAATTAAGGTGCCCTGAGAAGGTCAGCAGGAAGGAAGCAAAGGCCCAGCTGAGGAGCAGAGACCCCAGCATCTGTAGGGCGCAGCACCTGGCCAGGGCAGGTGGGTGTCCTGCTCCTCAGTGGATTGCAGTTTTCCACTGCCATGGTGCCGGCAGTGACCTCTCAGAGCTAGACCCCACCTCCCACCTTGCTACCAAGGTTTTGGCAGAATCAGAACCAGAGCTGTAATGCGTGTGTTCTAAAGGGCTGTGCAGGTGAAGATTTAGCTTACGGAGAGGCCCAGGGGCTGCTCATCTAAGTGCTAAATTCCTGCCTTCCCGTCTTCCTTCCATACTGTTAACAAGTACACACCCTATGCAGGCGGCCACCCTCAGTGGATGCAGGCTGCTGAGCTGTTTTCAGCCCAGGCCGGTTCTGCCACCTGAGCAGTTCCTAAAGAGATCCAGTGTGCCAGGAGCAGAGTCCCCAGCTTCCAACTTGGTCCTCATGCACTTGCCTGGTGCCCCTGGACTCCCCACCGGAATCCGTCCTGGAGACAGGGGTGGGCGTGCACCTCGATGCCGATTGTTCTTGCCTTTGTTTTTGGACGAGGTTGGCATCACTCACCCCTTTTGTCAGTTGGGTTGGCACAATTGGCTTCCTCTGTTTTTCAGATGAGGGGAGGGTGTTACGAAGTCAGGAGCTGCGGGTTCCAGTTTCAGTTCTGTTATGGGTGGCTGTGACCTTGAGCAGACCACTTATCCTGTCTGGGCCTCAGTTTCTTCATCTCTAGATGTGACCCTAGATTTGAGGTGGCCTCTGAGATTTCCACAGAGCCCTGGCTTTGCAGTCTGAAGACGAGTGTTTGAGTCCTGGCTTAAAATCTGGGGGACTTTGTGGGAGTTTTGCCCTCCCCGTGTGTGGAATCAGGACCCGGGCAATGCTACATCGTCCATCTGACCGGGTGGTTGTCAAGACCAAAATGAGCTGATGCGGGTTAAAGTAACAAGCAGCATGAATGTAATGTGTTTCTCCTCTTCCGGTCCATAATACCGGGCAGAAAATGGATACCAGCTGCAGGGAGGGTGGACAGGTTCTGAGCAAGGAGCAGTGTCCAGCACTCTGGGGACAAGGTGGGTGCAGGAGGAGGCTGGTCTCAGCCAGGAGGGAGAGGATGGAGGCAGCTTGAGTGCAGCCTGAAGGCTTCTGGCCCCTCTTGGGGTGTAGTATCAAGGGCTGCTCTGTCCTCACTGCAGCTGCCTGTGCTGTGGGGCCAGAGCAGTGTCCCTAAGACTGTGAACCAGGCACAGGGAGGGCCGTGGAAGAGCTGGCACAGACCTCGATGTGAGAAAACCCAGTTCAGATCTAGCTTCAGATTTTTTTTTTCTTTTTGAGACAGTCTCACTCTGTCGCCCTGGGTAGAGTACCGTAGTGTCGTAGCTCACAGCAACCTCAAACTCTTGGGTTCAAGCCATCCTCCTGCCTCAGTCTTCTGAGTAGCTGGGACTACAGGCGCCTGCCACAATGCCTGGCTAATTTTTCTATTTTTAGTAGAGATGGAGGGGGGGCGGGGGAAGGGTCTCGCTCTGGCTCAGGCTGGTCTTGAACTCCTGACCTCAGGCAATCCACCTGCCTCGGCCTCCCAGAGGGCTGGGGTTACCAGGGGGAGTCACTGCCTTGGCTTCAGATCTCTGATCTAGGGGAGGTCTCCGAGCTCTCTGAGCCTGTTTCCCTACCTCTACATTCGAGATGTCCTCCACCGTGTTTGCCGTAAAGGACATAGTCATGCTTAGTGCAGCGGTGGGTGCTCACTAGACAGACGCTGTCACCTTCCCTCCCGAGCGTGAGCTGCTGTTCATGTTTTCAGAGAGGAAGCAGGGCCAGTGGCCGAGAGCTAGGGACCCTGGCCCCAGGCCGCTTGCCTTCTTGTCCTGCATCTGCTCATGACTAGTTGTGTGACCTTCTCATATCCCAGTTTCCTCATGTCTAAAGTGGGGATGACACAGTGTCTACCCTATTAGATGGTTGGGAATACCCACTTGGCTGACAAGAACACAAAGGCAAGAGAATTAAGGTGCCTGAGAAGGTCAGCAGGAAGGAAGCCTTAGAGTACTTACAGTAGTACCTAAAACACATGGAGACTCAGTGCCTGTAGCTCAAGTGGCTAGGGTGCCAGCCACAAACACTGGAGCTGGCAGGTTCGAATCCAGCCCGGGCCCGCCAAACAACAATGACGGCTGCAACCAAAAAACAGCTGGGCGTTATGGCAGGTGCAAGCTAAAGCAAGAGAATCACTTAAGCCCAGGAGTTGGAGGTTGCTGTGAGCTGTGACGCCACGGCCCTCTACCCAGGGTGACAGCTTGAGACTCTGTCTCAAAAAAAAAAAAAAAAATCAAACACTGTGTGCTAGTGGTGTTGTCCTATTTTAACTAGAAGCAGTGATGTGTAACTTACCCAAGATCACGCAGAGAGTTAGAAAGGGAGGTGTGCGATGCACCTGGACCTCCTGCGCCCCTGCCCCCACCACGCAGACCACCCACTTCCTGCATAAGAGAGAGGGCTCCCCTGGGGAACAGGAGCCTGAGCTGTCTAGGCAGGCACCCTGCCTCTTCCAAGGTGGGAATTCAAAGGAGCAAAGCGCATCCTGTCCTCACTGCCTTTCCCTTGCCTCCCCTCCCCCCTCCTTCCCCATAGACACAGAGCTTTTTCCCTGTGACCTTGACTGGCTGTGACAGTTGCAAAAATGTGTTGTCTGCCAGTTGAGCCTCCCCTTGTGGCCACAGTGCTGATGGGGAGCACTCAGCCACAGAGCTCACGTGGAAGGGAGAACGAGACGCCGTTTGGCCCACTGGTGCCCTTGGTCCAGGCTCCTCCAGGGTCCTGGGGTGGGAAGGCCTGGGCCTGAGGACTGAGGAGGAACTGACCCTATTGGAGGGGAGAGGGCGGGATGCCGGCACATCCAGAGGCAGTTAGCAAAAGACAAAACACAACAACAAACAAACAAACACAGGCTGCCCTATTAATGAGGAATTTCAGCTAAACTACGAACTAAGTTTTAGCATAAGTGTGTCTGGTGCATACTTATACCGAGGCTGGCAGGTACAGGGCTTCTCTGTGCTTGGTGCTAGGGGGCATGGAGCAGGTGACACAGCCTGCACGGCTGTGTCTGAGCCCATCACAGAAAAAGCACATGCAGTTATGGGGGGAGGAAGCTGCATTTGCCAGGCACCCTCTTGCACGTCCCCTTCTCTCATGGTCACTCATGTGGCCTTTGGGTCACTGCCCATGGGACTAGGGAAGAGATATGGGCTGACTCTCTTGCCCTGTGACCTTGACACATGGAGGATAGGGAGGGAGGGCTGGGAACATGGTTGGACTGAGGTGGAATGAACAGGACTACATGTCAGGCCTTGGGTCTGTGAACCCTGATCCCTGGGAGGGGACAGATCCCCAGAGAAGAGCCGCTGAATCCTGCCTGAAGTGTCTGAGTATTCAGAGGCTTGGATCCCTGGTGGTCAGACCCTGTGGGAAGTGTCCTGTCTAGGAAGGGACATCACCAACCCTACCTGCTTACTAGGCCTGACTCACTAGGGGGGCCCACCCTCATCTCCCAGTAACTCTACTTCCCTTTTTTGATGCAGGGACACTATGAAGGCTGGGTTTGGCCAGACGAGTAAGGACTTCTTGTCATGCTGGCAAAATAAACTGTATTTCAGCCAGAGGGACAAAAGCCAGTGCTTACCTGAAGGTCACACTGGTCCTTTTTCCCAGGTGACTCTAGGGTGACTCTTTTTCTTCCTATAAAAAATAAGGGGTGGTGCCTGTGGCCCAGTGGGTATGGCGTTGGCGCTGGCCCCATATACCGAGGGGCCCCATATATCTCCATTTTTGCCTGGAGAGCTGGGACCATGAGCAGAGAACACAAATGTAGCCATGGCTTTATGTTTTGTTTGCCCCCAGCTTTAGGAATTCTCACCTTAAAAAATGTTTTTCAATTTGATAAGCAAAATGATGATTTCTAGTTTTTTTTTTTTTTTTTTTTGAGACAGAGTCTCACTTAGTCACCCTCAGTAGAGTGCTGTGGTGTCACAGCTCACAACAACCTCAAACTCTTGGGCTTAAGCGATAATCTTGCCTCAGCCACCCAAGTAGCTGGGACTACAGGCGCTGACCACAGTGCCCGGCTACTTTTTGGTTGCAGTTGTCATTGTTGTTTAGCTGGCCTGGGTGGGTTTGAACCCACCAGCCTGGGTGCAGATGACTTAGGAAAAGGAGATCAATGTGACGTATTCTAGA